TTTTGTTTCACTGTTTCCTTTTTTTAATTTTAAATAGTCACAAATATACAGTTGTATCTTTTAAAAACTGTTTGTGAAAGTGAGTTTTTTCAGCTTAACGTGGGTAGCCAGATTTATAGTCTGTTTATTTTTTTTTTAATTTATTTTATTTTGGTTATTTATTTATTTATTTATTTTTGAGCTGGGAGTCTCAATCTGTTGCCCAGGCTGGAGTGCAGTGGCAGGGTCTCGGCTCACTGCAATCTCTGCCTCCCGGGTTCAATTGATTCTCCTGCCTCAGCCTCTCAAGTAGCTGGGATTACAGGTGCACGCCACCGGGTTTCCCCATATTGGCCAGACTGGTTTCTCTTTTGTTTTTTTTCATTTCAAACGAGTGGAACTTTTTTTTAATGTCTGTTTATTCACATGGGGGTAAATAAGTTACACATGTTGGACCTATTGAAAGAACTAGGTCTACATAACAAATGGGGCATTGGTTTACTGAAAACAATATTGAGGCTGGGCGCAGGCTCATGCTTGTAATCTCAGCACTTTGGGAAGCCGAAGTGGGAGGATTGTTTGAGACCAGGAGTTCAAAACCAGCCTGGGCAACATAGCAAGACCTTGACTCTACAAGAAATAAAAAAATTAGCTGGGTGTGGTGGCATGTGCCTGTAGTCCTAGCTACTCAGGCAGCAGAGGCAGGAGGATCAGAGGATCATTTGAGCCCATGAGGCAGAGGTTGTAGTAAGCTGATACTGTACCACTGCACTTCAGCTAGGGTGACAGATTGAGACCCCATCCTAGAAAAAAGAAGATTAGAAGTCTGTCAGTCTGCCATTGTATAATTTATTGATGGAGTTATGGTATCATTGGTAACAATACCATCTAAGTATTTAATCCCTTTTTGCTTTTGAAGTAAGATTCGTGTTAGAGCTAGAATTTACCTGGGTGCGGTGGCTCATGCCTATAATCCCAGCACTTTGGGTGGATCACTTGAGCCCAGGAGTTCAAGACCAACCTGCAAAACATAGCGAAACCCAGTCTCTACAAATTGTGTGTGTGTGTCACACAACTGTGGTGGTGTGTGCCTGTAGTCACAGCTACTTGGGAGGCCAACAAGGTGGGAGGATCACCTGAGCCCAGGAGGTCAAGACTGCAGTGAGCTGTGATTTTGCTGCTGTACTCCAGCCTGGGCAACAGAGTGAGACCCTTTCTAATAAAACAAACTCTAGACTTTAAGTACTAATAATTTTGATATTTTTGATATCATTGTCCTGAAGAGATTGAACTAAAATATGGACCTCTTCAAGCAGTTATATCAAAGAGCAGAATGTGAAAGTTTTAACTTTTTTTGAGTTGCCAGCAGCTTTGAAAAATGCATATATGCACAGAAATTTACTTAAAGCTTCTGCTTCTGAACCTCACCCATCAGTAGCTAATTCACTTAAACCACAATTAAGGTGCATTTTCTGTTAAGTAATGTTCTTGACAAGTCAGACCATTGGTCTAGAACCAGTGCAAATTGAATGGTGATCACTGTGAAACAAACACCGCATTTCGTTCATTATACCTTTCTTTGCCTAAACACTTCTAGTATAAATTCCCTTATTTCGATTTTCCTAAGTTAATTACATCAGTATTGTCTGGACATGGCTTGGCATCACTTAATGGGAGAAAGCACTGAACAAATACCACTATTAACATGGTGATGCAGCTAATACAGTGAGATTAAGCTACACTAATAAGCAGTAAGAATGTGGAAGATCTGTTTCATCAGATGCCGGTTAAACCACAGCAGGATTTTTGTCTTCAACTCTGGATTCTATATTAACCAAAATGAATTAACTTGCCAGAGTGTATCCAGAGGCAGAGGCTAGGAGAACAAAGGGAAATGGAACTAACATTCCTTGGAGAACAGTTGAGGGAACTGGGAAGATCAGAGCTGGGGATGGATAAATTAAGTGAATACCTATCTTCTGAACCTTTGAAAGCTATCAGAAAAGAGGATTTGGGTTTACTTCTGAGAGCAGAACTAGGACCAGTGGTTGTGTTACAGGTGACAAGCAAGACCATTCTGCCATTTAAAACTTCCTAATGTGTAAGGGCTGTTTTCAGTCTCTGGCATCTACATCTATAGCAGATCTTATGCACAGTCTAACTCCTAGCTAGATTAATAACACCTTAAACTACTGAACTGTTTAACTCACTGTTACCTGATGTTTGGATTTCAATAAAAAATAACAAGGCATGCTAAAAGTCAAGAAACAGTCTGAAGAGAGAAAACAAGCATCAGAACCAGACTTACATATGACACAAATTTTAAAATGATCAGACCAAAAATTTAAAGTAATTGAAATGTTAAGGGGTCTAACAGAAAAAGTCCATACCATGCAAGAACAGGTGGGTACTAAAAGTAGAGAGGTGGAAATGCCCAGGAAAAAAATCAAAAGCAAATGCTAGGGGGAAAAAAAAATCCCAACACTTGGGGAGGCCTAGGTGGGAGGATCATTTGAGCCCAAGAGGTGAAGGCTGCAGTGAGCTGCGATTGTGCCACTGCATTCCAGCACGAGTGACAGAGTGAGACTGTCAAACAAATTAAGAATGTCTTTAATGGGCAGTTCAGCAGACCGGACACTGCCAAGCCTAGGTCTATAGAAACTTCCCAAACTGAAATGCTAAGTGAAAAAAGAATGGAAAAGAAGTCCCCACAAATAAACAGAAGAGCCAAGAATTGTGGGACCATTTGGAAATATATAATGTACCTGGGTTTGGAATACTAGAAAGCAAGAGAATGAAGCAGAGTAAATATTTGAAGTAAAAATGGCCAAGAATTTTAAAAATTAATGACAGACACCCAACCACCAATCCAGGAAACTCAGAGAACAAGCAGAATACCAAAATGCCTACAATCTCGACTTAGGCATGCTGTGTTCAAAGTACAGAAAACCAAAAAGTAAAAACCTTGAAAGAAGCCAGAGGTGGAATCACCTTACCTATAGAGCAATAAAGATAAGAATTTTTTTTTTTGAAACGGAGTTTCGCTCTTGTTACCCAGGCTGGAGTGCGATCACGCAATCTCGGCTCACTGCAACCTCCGCCTCCTGGGTTCAAGCAATTCTCCTGCCTCGCCTCCCAAGTAGCTGGGACTACAGGCGTGTGCCACCATGCCCAGATAATTTTTGTATTTTTAGTAGAGACAGGGTTTCACCATGTTGACCAGGATGGTCTCGATCTCTTGACCTTGTGATCCACCTGCCTTGGCCTCCCAAAATGCTGGGATTATAGGCGTGAGCCACCCCGCCCAGCCCAAAGATAAGAATTATAATGAACTTCTCAGCAGTACCATGCATGCAAGAAGATAGTGTGATGATAGGTGTTGAAAGAAAAAAATCCTCCAACTTAGAATTCTATATCCAATGAAATTCTTCAAAAGTGAAAGACAAACTAGTGAATTTGCTCTTGCTGGAGGTGATCCAAAAGGTTGAATGAAAAGAACAAGAAATGTTGGGTCCAACGTTTGCCTAACTGTATTCGATACATAAACTTAGCTCTGGAAGGTGGTAGTTAAGTGTTCAGCAAAAATGTATTTCAGTGATTTTTAGGAATGTTGCAAACCAGATTATACTCTTGGAACTTCACTCTGCTCAGATACTGGGGATCTGAGCAGGCCTATAGCAAAGAACCCTATTTTTGCTTACAAACATAAGCCCAGAATCTCTGACTTTTGGCCTGCTTGTTAAAACCTTATGGATAGCCATGTGTGGTGGCATGTGCCTGTAGTCCCAGCTACTTGGGAGGCTGAAGCAGAAGAATAGCTTGAACCCAGGAGGCAGAGGTTATAGTTAGCCAAGATCGCAGCACTGCACTTCAGTCTGGGCGACAGAGCCAGACCCCGTCTCAAAAAAAAAAAAAAAAAAAAACCACTATGGAACAATGTTTTGTGGAACACCCAATTTGAGAAACACCAGAAAAGATGACATTTATGACCCTGAGAAATGTTCTTCATTAACTGGATATTATATATACTAAGTGAGTGAGACTAAAAACTCACACAGAAAATAAAAGAGTATTAACTTCCTGATTTGATTTTGAGAGCATGTAGAAAGACTGATTATCGGGGTTATTTCTTTAAATTCCTTTTCTGCCTGATTTGAAATATCTTAACAAATAACCAAAGTTGAAAGCTGTTTATCAGCTCCTGGCTTACTCTCTGCTCCATCCTCCCACCCTCAAGGTCAAATCATCATTAACCGGTGGTTCAACTAGCTCCTTTCTGCCTTTTCCCCAGTTTTTTCTTTATGTTGCTGTTACTCTCATTTGAGAAAATTTATCACGTGGCCCATATGCCATTATACATGGGAAAATGGCAACTCTGCTTCACTGCTAAGAATACCAGAGATGCTTTAAGGACAGAAGTAGATGACCTGATACAAGTCAGTGTTTCCTTATTGGATTTTGAGTTTTAGGAACATAACTAGTTGTCCTGTCACTGTGCCGATCCCTTAGTTGAGCTTTCATTAGGTTAACATCTTCAGAATACCCACCCTCAAAATAATTCCAGGATATGAGGAGGTTAGCATAATGGTTAAGCATGAGGACTCTGAAGACATTATCTTAAATTGGAGGCCCTTTTTGCCCCTGTCTGTTGACTTTGGGTGAAATTTCTTAATGAATGGTTAAATGTAATTTAGTTTCATCTTCTGTAATACATGGTTAGTAATAATCTCTACCTGTGAAGATTAAATGGAGCACTTACAACAGTGTTTGGCATGTAGTAAACACATGAAAAGTGTAGCTATTGGGTTAGTGTCACAGTGTGGTGTATGAAATCTTGGAATATATAAAGTTTATTTGTAACATCTACCCTAAGAATTTTAACATTACTGGTTTTTGAAAACCCAGTTGACAATCAGGCATTGGGTTCCTTGCAGAAGACCTGATAAAGTATCTTTTTCCACATGCTTTTTAACAATCTGGAAGATTAATGAAACTTTGCAATAGTAGAATTTATTTTTTAATTTCAAAAAAGTTTTTATTATAGTAAAACATGAAATTTACCATCTTAACCATTTAAGTGTACAGTTCAGTGGCATTAAGTACATTCACCTTTTTGTGCAACCCCTATCACCATCCATCAGCCATCTGCTGTTTTGTTTTGTTTTGAGCTTCTCACTCTGTTCCCAGGCTGGAGTGCAGTGGCATGATCTTGGCTCACTGCAACCTCCACCTCTCTGGTTCAAGCGATTCTCCTATCTCAGCCTCCCAAGTAGCTGGGACTACAGGCGTGCACTACCATGCCTGGCTAATTTTTTTTTTTTTCCTGTATTTTTAGTTGAGACGGGGTTTCACGATGTTGGCCAGGCTTGTCATTACCTCCTGGCCTCAATTGATCCACCCACCTCAGCCTCCCAAGGTGCTGGGATAACAGGTGTGAGCCACCGCACCTGGCCATCATCTCCTGAACTTTTTCATCTTCCCAAACTGAAACTCTGTACCCATTAAACAATAACTTCTCATTGCCCCCTCCTCTAGCCCCTGGCAAACACCATTCTGCTCCTAGACTTCTTTCAGACTCAGTTTCTTCTTTCACTTAATAAAAGAGAGGGTCCACTGCTGACTAATGGGATTGTTTCTATATGTGGAGGCCTTCTTGCAAACTTGTTTAAGTTTATTGTAGAGAACAGTAATAGGAAATGGGATTGTACAAAGAAAACTGAGACAAAACTGGATGAGGGTTTCACACTGGGTCTCTCATCCACAGGCCTCAGCAACCCTGCCATGGATCTACCCAATTCTTTTGCATCAAGGAGTTGATCTTGTGAGCCACTTCCATGTTGTAGATCCGCCGGCACCTTTCATAGCTTTCCCTCTGTTGCAGGAGGCATTGCTTCTCATAAAACCGCTGACACTTTATGTCCTCAATGAACCCATTCATAGTGAGGATTCTGTTTAGGGTTCTGTATGCACTTTCCACGTTCCCTTCCTGTATCATCACAGTCCTGGCAATGAACTTCAGATATTTTGCCATGACCATAGACTGAAGTCTTCACTCTGTAGAGCCTGGCACACTCAGTACCTAGCCGACCCATAATAGTAGAATTCTTAAGAGAATGAAATAAACTAAAAGAAGTGAGACAGTTTGTTAGATATTTACTTAAAGTAATTCCCACCAAAAGGTAAAAATTCTTCAGTCAAGGAAAAAAGTTCCATCTGACATGTATAGGATAACCTGTGAAAAGAAATGAGAAAGGATTTGATATATTGGAATTTATATTTTTTAATATTGTTAATTCCAGGATTAGATAACAAGCTGAATTTGAGCATTTGTTTCCCAGAAGGTGAAGACAAACCACTGAGATCTTTATCTCCTTCACACTCTGTCCTCTGGGGATGGTAACAGCTTGACTGATGAGCAGTCTCAAACTCCCTGATGTCATGGAATTTCGTGGCCTTATTTAAAAGATGGATGTGTGTATGTTATAGCTTAATACTTTAGTAAATTTTTTCTTCTAATCTAGAAAAGAGGTCCAATTCCAGGACATGCAAAATGAGCTAAAATAAATGGTGGTGGATTCTAAAAATGAGAACTGAAGCTTCTTAATAGTTCTATTGAAGGCAGTGGCTTAAGAAAGACTTGTATGTTCACTTCTTAAAAGAGGCAAAGGATGTTATACTACAGATAAATGAGGTCCCACAGAAAACAAACTTTGCACGTTTTTTCTCTATAAATTCTGTTGTTTTTATCAAGAAATGGGTAGGAAGCCATGGGTCTGCAATACAGTAAGTGTGATGCTTAGAATTGACCAGAGCCTTTAATTGGCCACTAAAGATCCCCGTATTAAGGTGGTTGAAATTCTCTTGTTTTTTTCTCTTTCTGTTGTTGTTGTTGTTGTTTTGGGACGGAATCTTACCCTGTTGCCCAGGCTGGAGTGCAGTGGTGCAATCTCAGCTCACTGCAGCCTGCCTCCCAGGTTCAAGCAGTTCTCCTGCCTCAGCCTCCCAAGTAGCTGGGATTACAGGTGAGCACCACCACACCCAGCTAATTTTTGTATTTTTTAGAGATGGGGTTTCACCATGTTGGCCAGGTTGTTCTCGAACTCCTGCCTAGTGATCCGCCCACCTCAGCCTCCCAAAGTGTTGGGATTAGTCTCGGTTTTTGTTTTTGTTTTTTTTTTTGTCACAACGTAGGAAAGATAAAAGCAGAATTATTAGCAGCATCTTCAAGAAAAAGGCAGCCATGTAAATACTTTAAGTTCAGAAATAATATGTATTTAAAGCAACTAGAATTTTAGAACAGCTATCTGAGTCAGCCCTAAAATGAACAAGAATTCCAAATTTCAGGAATTTATCTTAGCTGTTCTTCTGCAAGATTCTGATATCATCTCAGAATAAAAACCACAATTATGTAGCACTTCCTAATTTGAAGACTTGGCCACAGAGCACTGTAAAATAGGTACCCGTATTTTATGAAGGAGGCATCTGAGACTTACTTAGATAATCTTAGTGAGCCCTTGTCCAAGGTTACATAGGTAGTAGATTGTGGAAACAGTACTTCCATCCAGATCTTCTGACTTCATGGAGTGTTGGCTGGGGGGGCTCTTAATACTCAGTCCCCTGCTGGACACTGCAAGTGATGTAGTTGCTTCCTAATTATGGGTATGAAATTAGAAAATCCAGTAGTAATTCAGAAATAACTCATGTAGTAGAATATCTTAGGAAGTTAGCTTGAGAAAAGATTCTATGGCAGTGTTTGGTCTTAATGTAGGCCTTGAAAAATATATACAATTTGGATACTCAACATATACTTAGTATTAGCTGTAAAGAAATCTGTAATGGTAGTTCAGATTTCAAGTAGCTGTAACTCACTTGCTGTGCACACAAGGCAAATTACACCTCCTAGTTCACTAATGTAGTATTATATCAGTGTAAAAAAGGCTTTTGCCCTTAGAAAGACAAGACAGTGCAGAAATAGCTAGCTAGAAGCCTGGAGTAAGTGGCAAGAACAGAGGAAGAGTTAGGTGAATTGAAAATTTGCCTGGATTTTAACCTGTGGGCAAAATTTTGAAGCGTGGAGGGGCTTTTGACCAGTGGAATTGAGCCTTGGTAGGAAGCTGGAACTGCAAAAACTGACATGAGAGTTGCTCATAACTGAGGTGATACAAGCTTTAGGGTGGCAGTGATGACAACGGTGGCAAGTAAAGGGTAAATCAGTAAATTAAGGACAGAAAAGTGGGCCTTGTTGAATGAGGAAAATAGAGGGAAAGAAAGAAAGTGGCTTCGGTCCACAGAGTAAGAAAAATGAGGTAAAGCATTGGTTCCCAAATACACCCATGCCGTGGTGCCTCCTGAAAACATTTATTTTAATAGTGATGTTTATTTTAATGTGTGAATCAAAACCAAAGTGAGCACAACAAACCTATGATTGCATAGACATTTCTTAGAATGAAGGTGTTAAAAAATGAGTTGGTTTAAATATGATGTAAATAATAGTACAAGTGAGTCATGGTAAAGGACATTATGAAGAATGGTAGTTATCTAATTGAAATTTGGAAAATAGTGTTTTAAAATTGGGGAGAGGTGGTATGAGGAAAATTTCTGGGTTTGTGAAAAAGCCTGCATCTAGATTTCAATGTTCGTTATATGGGTGGATACACATACTAACTGAAGTATCTACTTAATATGAATTTTATGTTGTGCCTCAATTTAAAAACTTTAAGTAGCTATTGACTAAAGTTGGCTAAGATGGAAAGAAGAGCAAAATTTGTAGAGCAAAAAGGTACAAAGTTGTTTTTATTCGCTGATCTTATTTGTAATGGAAATGATAGGTAAATTTATTTACATTCTCTGCTTTCCAAAATTAATTTTTAAAAGCATGTAGCTAAATCAATATAAAGAAATTGCTTATGAATGTTGAATGTTTTGCTTATGAATGTTGAATGTTTTGCTTATGAATGTTGCATTTCTTAAGAGATACATGCCTATATACACGTGTGAAAGAGGTTTACTCATTCAAATGATAGAATTTTTCCTCTTTTTTTTTATTTCATTCATCAGTTTTTTAAGTATATTCTATATGTGTGATATGCGAATGGTCAACAGGATGTTAAAGCAGTACATTGTTATATGGTCAGAAAATAGTGAAAGTTTAGATATGAGAGAAGTAATTGGGGAAGGTTCAATGTATAGTTTGAGATTTCAGCTGGCACTTGGAAGTATGGAAAGAAATTGGGATCCTGGACAGGTAAGGGAGGAAAAACTTGAGCAAATGATTCTAAATAGGAATTTGTACCATATTTGGCTTTAAGGAAATTTTGTTCAGATTGGGCTTAATATAAAAATTATATGTAGTTTAAAATAACTTTAATATATTTGCTGTGGTGGCCATATATTATTTGTAATCTTAAAAATCTTTTTTTTTTTTTTTTTTTTTGAGACAGGGTCTCACTCTCTTGTCTAGGTTGGAGTGCAGTGGCACCATCATGGCTCATTGCAGCCTTGACCCCCTGGGCTCAGGTGACTTCCACTTTAGTCTCCTGTGTAGCTGGAACTATAAGTGCATGCCACCCATGTCTGGATAATTTTTGTACTTTTTGTAGAGACAGTAAGTTTCACTGTATTGCCCAGGCTGGTCTCAAACTCCTGAGCTCAAGCATTCCACCCACCTAGGCCTCCCAAAATGCTGGGAATACAGGTATGACCCACTGTGCCTGGCTAATATTTGTAACCAAGTTGCATCACAGTGTGGATAATTTAATACAACTGCTATTCTGCAAAATAGCTCAAATAGTTTTTGGTTGTATCTTTTTGAATAGCAAATGTATCATTTGACCAGAAATAACTAAGAACTATTAATTTATTCATCAATTTTGATGTATCAAAATCAATTATGTTTCATGGTGCCTGGTGTTAATGAATCTTGAGCAGTTTATGTTCAGTTTTTAGTAAAAGGTGAAAGGTTCATATTACCTGAAGGGAAACCAGAGTGTTATCTTCAGTTTTAAAGCCTCAGTTTTCTTATCTATGAAACAGGAATAATGATACCTGTGTTTTAGCGGTTTGTGAAGATTAAGATAAGAATGTATGCAAAACAGCTTTGATAATCTGGGAAAATGTTTAATTTGTCCATCAGTCTTTTTTTAATCAAGTGTTTATTTTAGAACAATTTTAGGTTTACTATGAAGAGAGGATAGAAAATTCTTATACACTCCAGTTTCCCCATTGTAACATTTTATATTAGTATGATACATTTGTCATACTTAGTGAACCAATATTATACATTATTGACTAAAGGCCACACTCAATTCAGATTTTCTTAATTTTTGCCTAATGTCCTTTTTTCTGTTCCAGGATCCCATCCAGAATGTCACATTCGCTTTGGTTGTCCTGCTTCTCTTGGCTGTGACAGTTCCTCTGACTTTCCTTGTGTTTGATAGTTTTCAGCACTACTGGTCGTGTCCCTCAGTTGGGATTTTCTGATGTTTTTCTCACAGCTAAAGTGGAGTCATGTGTTTCAGGGAGGAAGACCATAGAGGGAGAATGCCATTTTCATCCCATGATAAAGGAAATACTGTCAACATGAGTGATATAGTGTTGATAGGACCTTTATCACATGGCTTAGGTATTTGTCAGGTTTCTCTTCTTTAAAGTTAGTCTTTTTTCCCTCCTTTTCATACTCTAGTCTTTGGAAGCCAGCCACCACAAACAGCCCACACTTAACAAGTGGGAACCTTTTCAAATATGAAGTGCCTACATGAGCCTTTTTCAGATATCAAATTACAATGAATTTGTTATTGTATTCTTTTATAAGAACTTGGAGAGCACCCAGGCGTGGTGGCTCACGCCTGTAATCCCAGCTCTCTGGGAGGCCAAGGGGGGTGGATAACCTGAGGTCGGGAGTTCAAGGCCAGCCTGACCAACATGGAGAAACCCCATCTCTACTAAAAATACAAAAAAATTAGCCAAATCAACAATAGCATAGGCATCCTTCTTTGTTTGTTTGTTTGAGACAGGGTCTTGTTCTGTTGCCCAGCCTGGAGTCCAGTGGCGTGATCTCCACTCACTGCAACCTCTGCCTCTTGGGTTCAAGCGATTCTCCTGCCTCAGCCTCCCGATTAGCTGGGATTACAGACATGCCCACCACACCCAGCTAATTGTTGTATTTTTAGTAGAGACGAGGTTTCACCAAGTTGGCCAGGCTGGTCTCAAACTCCTGACCTCAGGTGATCCACCCACCTCGGCTTCCAAAGTGCTGGGATTACAGGCATGAACCACCTCACCTGGCTTTATACCTATCCTTCCGAAGTGCACTTGGAACATTTTCTAGGATAGAACATGCTAGACCACAAATTAAGTCTCAGTAGATTTAAGAAGGTGTCATACAAAGGGTATCTTCTCTGACCACAATCCAATGAAATTAGAAATCACTATCAGCTGGGCACGGTGGCTCCTGCCTGTTAACCCAGCACTTTGGGAGGCCGAGGCAGGAAGATCACTTGAGGCTAGGAGTTTGAGCCCAGCCAACATAGCAAAACCCTGTCTTTTATAAAAATATAAAAATTAGAGTAGGCGCAGTGGCTCACGCCTCTAATCCCAGCACTTTGGGAGGCCAAGGCTGGCAGATCACAAAGTCAGGAGTTCAAGATCAGCCTGGCCAGCATAGTCAAACCCTTCTCTACTAAAAATACAAAAAATTAGTCTGGTGTGGTGGCAGGTGCCTCTAATCCCAGCTACTCAGGAGGCTGAGGCAGGAGAATTGCTTGAACCCGGGAGGCAGAGGTTGTGGTAAGCTGAGAGATTTCGCCATTGCACTCCAGCCTGGGCAACAAGAGCAAAACTCCATCTCAAAAAAAAAAGAACTTGGAGAGCAGGTATTCTTAGTTAAGAATAATTACTGGGTTATTCAGATAATGGATGTGAATGGTATTGTTCCTGAAGGGTTGGATTACATTTACTGTATCCAAAGCATCTCTATTGAGCAAGCCAGTATTTTCCTAAGAAAAAAGTGGGGAACTTTCCAAATACAAGCCACTACTCTGTCTTTTACTGCTCTTTTCATGATCCTTTTCAACATTGGACACATTTCAGCATTTTGCTGTTAGGTCACTTCTCTTCCTTCCTGTGTGTGCTATGATTCTCAACCAGGGGAGGGAGGAGGGGCATGCCATCTTGTGAGTGGACACATTAGAATCATAGGAGGAGATAGTGTGCTATGATGGAAAATATAGAAAATCAGGTTCAGTATACGTATATTTTTACTAAGACCACAAAAAGTAAAGTTTGACAAAATCTTGGCTCATGGAAGATGTGCAGAAGAGTAGAGAAGGGAGGGGCAAAATGATTGAGAAGCACTGTTGTAGATTGTTTATATAAACCAAAGTGGCTTATATTCTTCTCTTGGTTTTAGCTAGAACTTACCTGTGAGTTATAAAGCCTAAATCTTTATTTGTAGCTCAGAATACTATAATCACATTTCCAAGTGCCTACTAGAAATCCTGTGGATAACTCACACTTAACATGCTTAAAACTGAACCGCGTATCTTTCTCCAAAGGAGTTTGTGCCCCTGTCTTTGCTCTCTCAGATAATAGCCCAGTACCCACCTGCTTATGAAGCCTCAACCCTCATTATTCCTCACAGCAGAACCACAGCCAATTCCTGCTGATTTTTCTTTCTAAACGTTTTAGTCTTTTAAATTAAGATATTACATACATAATGTAGTTTATAAAGGACATTGCTCTATCCTTACTACGTTTGGTTTGGTTCAGGCCCAAGTCCTTTCTTTCCTGGAGAATTGCAGTAAGCTCCTAGCTGAGTTTCTGGCTTAGATGTTTCCTCATCTGTGCACTCTCTAGGATGGTCCTCTCTGGACTTACCTGTGACCACATTTGGAAAGAGCATGAGTCTCCCTGCTTTGTGCCATGCACTGTGGTAATAGTGAATTGCCATGGACGTATCTATTTTACTGCCTGCTACTTCCTTCAGACCAAATTTGAGTCAGGACCCTGAAACTGAGATAGGTATAGTGGGAAGCTTTCCTCTGAGTGATACCCTGCTCTGGGTGCTGAGCTTTTGGAGAAGGGGAGGGGTGCAACAGCCTGAGGTTGTCTCACTTGCCTCTTCTGCTATGGAGCCACTTCCTCATGAGTCGGGGGTGAGGCTTATCAGGGCCCCAGTATTCTCAGTCCTCCACGTATAAGGAAGAACTTCTGATCTGAGAGTAGGGGCTGGGCAGAAGTGGAGATTCCCCAGGCTCTTACCTGCTCTAGCTCAGGAATTAGCTTCAGCACCGGGTAGCTTGGGGTAGGATGAGAGGTGCTCTTTCTGGGAATAAAGCCCTCCCATTGGAAGTTGCAGGGAGAGTGATCCTGTGTTCTTGGCTGCAGCAGCCTGGAGTGGAGCCTCCTTGCTTAGATGAGAGGGCACAGGAAGGGAGCAATCCTGCTTCAAACACCGCAGACTCTTGCCATTCTTACTGAGTTTTCATAAATGTTCTTGCCAAATTTTAGTTAAGGTTTGTGAAAATAAATACGTAATTTTTCTTGCCCAAACTTAAGAATACCTGAACATCTTGTATGTCAGGGTTAAGCATATTAATATGTTAATCTTCTTTCTACAGGTGTGAAGCAGCAGCTAAAGATTGTGGTTTTTCTTAATGATAATACTTTACCTGGTGATATATTTCCAAAGCTCATCTTTTGATGCTAAAACTCACACTATAATTTTTTTTTAATTTGGCATTAACTGAGTATAGTACCTAATATTAACGTAGGTCATTATTAGCTAAGAAGTTCTTTCAATCTGTGAATGCTAATGAAAGTGGTTTGATGTTACAGGAATACAAGCGCAAGCTAGCCAGAGTTTCCCTGGTGCGCAAAGAACTCAGGTCCCGGATCCAGAGCCTGCCAGACTTATCTCGATTGCCCAA